AACCAACAACTTCGCCCCAGACAATCCAAGAGATCAGCAGTGTGAGGAAGAGAGTACACATCCGGGATCATTACGTCGTTTAACGGACGATAGTCGATGTAGAAACGAATACTCCCATCAGGCTTCGTCACAAGATGAGGTTCACATGCCCAAGGACTTCACGACTTCCGAATAACACCCTTCTCCAACATCTCCTTAACATTTGCACGTAAAATCTTGATCTCCTTTGGTGACCGACGACGAACAGGAACCTTGATTGGACAAACATCCCCAGTTGGAATCGGATGACATGTAGCAATCTTGGCTCCAGACGATAGGTCAAAGTCAAAGAGATCAGAATACTCCTTCATGAGCCAGTCAACTGCTGCAACACAAAGATCGTCGAAGGGATCGGCAAAGGGAAGAGTAGAACAAGATGGAAACACAGGAGGAAATAGTGGGGGAACAAAAGTAATGGAAGCAGAGGTAGAAGTAGAGGGACGAAGAGGTACGGAAGTGAGAGGAATGGATGAAACATAAGGAAGTATGAGATAAGGGGGAGAAGCTTCAAAGTCACACTTGGCATGATTGCGCTGCAACCAATCCATACCAAAAATGAGGTCAAAAGCTTGACTCGGCACCACCCGCAACGACTGCAACTCAAGCTCGAGATCGCCCACACGCACAACCAGGTCTGCCTCATCCCGTGCACATGCATGTGTACAGCTATTGCCATAAAGAATGAAAACTAGTTCCGCCGCACGACGCAAGTGTAGACGACAACGTGTGGCAACAGGTCGAGCAATAAAAGATAAACTCGAACCTGTATCAACCAACACAGAGAGAATAATAGGAGACCTCTTGTTATAAAGATGAGTTTGGAAAGTAAACACTGGATGAACTGGTGCCGAGTGAACCCCTTGATGATACTCCCGAAAGAAAGATGGAGGGGTCACTGACTTATTCGCGCAAGGTCCCTTCGTTACTCGTGTGACTCTTCATTTACCGGATGCATCTCGGTGTCCAAACCTTCCACTGCAGCAGCACCAACGGGACGTTGTTGATGCCAAGGTCTCCACCTAGGAAATGGAGGTTGCCAATCCGGAAAGCGCCGACAACGCTGATAAGTATGACTAACTTCATCACACGCCCAGCAACGAACATCACGGTCACAACCACGTCCTCGCCCTTGTCCTTGGACTCGAGTAGCAGCAGCATCAACCTCCATTGGAACAAGACCATCACTCATAGGAAGTGGAGTGGAAGGATGTGTAGCGAGAAGTGGAAGAGGCGACGTCTCATAATGTTGTGCCAAGCGAAGAGCATCGTCAAGGGTGGCAGGAGCAAAGTGCTGGCCACAACATTCCTAGCTTGATCCGCTTCGACATATTGGGCTCCGCATGAAGCAAAAGACTTCGGAAATGAATGCCAAATTGCATCACCGACTCAGATGGCCCTTGGCGAAGACGATGCAATTGTTGGAAGGCATCGTCACAATCGTTGGCATGTCCGAAGGCACGTTTGAAGATGTCTGGAAGAACACTCCAATCCTCACGAGTGGCTACACTCAATCCATTGTACCATTGCAACGCCGTCCCTTGGAGACACGTGGGAAACTCACGTAAACGTTGAGCATCATCCTAAGAATGATATGTGGCAATCACCGTGAAGTGATCGAACCAATGGTACACATCATCCCCAGGATTCCCACGAAAGAACTTCGGCTGAACACAAGGATTGGCACCAAAAGTAGGAGGAGTTGGACCACGTGCCGTAAATGCCGCCATCAATTGAGTTTGGTTGTTCAATTGCAAGCGCATAGCATCAAGCAATTGGACCAATTGCTGCTCTAGAGTCAAAGGAGGAGATTGCTGATTCGCCATGAAGACGGACGAAGAAAGAGCAAATGAAGAGAAACGACAAAAACAAGAAGGAAATGGGAGATCTAAATAATGCAAAAAGCTAGATCTAAACTAAAATCCCAAATTCAAGCACTCCTCAAGGACAATCAAAAGTGCCCCTCACCTCCACCAATGTGAGTGCTTGGAATATGGAAAAGGGAATACAGAAATGTGCATCTCAATTAGCCCAAAAACCCTAGCTTATATACAGGAGCGAGTGGTCTGGATTGAAATTAATCTAACGGCTACCAAAATCCCACTACGCTAATATTAGTATACAGCATTGTAGCTGTACACTTGGCCCTCATATCTATTATTAATAGTAAAAATAATAATTATATAAATAATAATAATCTAGCTTGTGCCTTAAAATCTGAGATCATCCATCCAAGTATTCAAATACGTTCCAAGGAGCACTGACATTCAAGGAAACCTACACCACGTTGGTCTCCCAACTTTCATGATTTAGAATGGAGGCATTTGAATTGTTTTGTTTCCCGCTTATTCAAATTTTAAGCTCTAGATCTTGAATTTCCAGGAAGGATGGATCCTTTCTAAGAAGAAACCAGCCATCACTATCATGAATCACCAAGCTCAAGGTTACTTGAAATGGTGCCATTGGTAAGTTAGACATTTCCGCTCTTAGGATGTTTCAATTTGAGCATACTCTTTGTGGGGCTCATGCGTGCTGCACAAACCAGGGTGACACTTATCAAAGCCGATCCTAAACTCGTCACTCCTGAGGAACTCGAGAGGAACATACCGGGAGCAAACCAGGGACTCCGAGGAAACGGCTCGCAGAAGAGCGCCTCCATGTCTTCGCCAACAAAACTCGACGGGTGAGCAAGGCGTAGAGAAAAGGTGCAGCGATCGACACCATCTTGTTCCCGAGGCTGCTGTTATCCAGCCAGAGGATGAACTTGCAATCACTGTTCTCCGTGGCCGTGCTCGAGTTAAACCAAGTCTGGGGATTATCTCTCGTGCAGCGAGCAGGGAACTCCTCGTAAGAACGAAACCTGTCAATGAGATACTCCAATGGTACGCATTCCCAGCCTCTCTTACCGTAGCGATGCTGCTCAAACCGGCTCTTGCATTTACCATGGTCTTCTCGTGCAGGCAGCAGATTATAAAAGTTTGCTCGAGAAGAACTTGCATCGTTCGTAGCACTGTGGTTGCTTCTTTGGTCCCTGGAGATGAAAAACTTAATCTTCTCTTGCTGGAACCAAACTACTGCCAGGAAGAAGAGGACGATGGTTGCCGCCTCTAAAGCTGTTGACATTGGGCGAAGTTTCTACCTGGTAACTTGCTTCATCTAGCAAAGTCCATTAAACACTACAATCTAAGCTATGGATTCTTTGTCAAAAGAATTGTCACGAGTTGCTAGTTTCTTCTTGTGCTTTTCATACCCTTGGAAAAGGGGATGTAGCTCAGACGGTAGAGCGCTATGCGGGATCGATACCCGGCATCTCCATTCTTACCAAACTACATTTATTCGGCTCCTTATGTGGAAGAGAGACGCAATATCTTTCAAGTGATCAACCCTGGATAGACTGGCCAGCCCAGGGACCTGAGGGATAGTCTTGTAGAGCCGATCCCGATCCCAGGTTCGAACTGCCTGGAAGAAGAGGGACCCTCAAATAAAACAAACTGATCACTCCTTTAAATTTCCAAGGCAACATGGGGCACGGATTCGAACTTGTGACTCCCATGTACTAAAATTTCTGCTGCGTAGCTTGAAAATGATTTTTTGGCGCCTAGATCTTCCTAGGGTTGCAAATGGGGCAAGGCCATGGCGGCATCGCGCTCTCAGGTACTCTTCCTTGTCCCTGGCTGGATTACGTCGCGCTTGATCTTGGAATTTTTCTGGATTACGTCGTCCTGAGCTTGATCTTGGAAGCTTTCTAGTCCTGCCTCCCATAACTAGCATACTCTCAAGCTAGAATCACTCGCATTCTTGCCATAGGCACGCGTTAGAACGGACTTTTGAGAGCGTGCTTCTGAAATTCTCCTTCTCTCAGTTGCAATGTTTGTAATGAATGATTTTTGTTACGTAAATTGTAGGTCGGGAGTACAATTTCAGATTGAAAATGCGCAGGTTCACTGCAGATCCTTGAAAAGAGCACGGCCGTGGCTCCAAAAAACAATCTGGGAACTTCGTGCTGCCACTGGTACGTTGTAGATTTGTTTCGGGAGCCTGCAAAGTACTCTGGACTTTGTTTTGGGCGGATATAGAAACATGCGTGGAGTCGATCGCCAACAGTTACCGATGTCTGGCAGAAAAAAAATGCTTTTGTGACTAAACTTGTACACCTCTGGAACATTTATTTCTCCAAAAACAACTTATTCGTGGAGCGTTTATCCATCTGAGACATCTTGAGCTTAGGTGAATGATCGACTTTAAGGTTCTTTCCTTGTTTTCCTATTGTGTTTTTTCATTATGGTGCAATTTTTACAGGCTCCCGGCATATCGTTTTCTCGTGCCATTTTGTTGAGATCAAAAACGAGGTGGGACGAGCTGAATTCCCCACGTTAAGTCCGGGCAGCTTTGGATATTGTTTTGGACGGCCTTCGCAGGGTTGAGCGATTCACAATCACAGCCGTAAAAAACTCTCGCGTGGAAGCAAGGCTCTATGGAATCCAACCTGGAGCAGTTCCTTTCATTTAAGAGCCACGGCTTGAGTCCACCCAGGCTTTGAGCAACGTATCCAAACGTGGAACCGGGGCTCGTAACCAGCTCGTCACACAACGAGAGCAGGAAAATCTCGGCCAGGGCCTTCTCGTCGTGCTTGAGGTCGTTAGTCTGCTGCCATCGCTCGTTACTCGGTGCAAAAACTCGGATCAAAGAACCATCGATTGTTGGAGAGTTGAGATAAACTTCTTTAAGATCATCGGAGTAATCTTCGTCCAGCGATGTCACAACAACACCTATGATGTCTCTGGAGGATCCACAAGCTCTACAATCTCTTGGCGACGTCGAGTATGGTGGTACTACTTTGGGAAGCACATTGCTTTGGTGGAGACACTGGATCATTGCGGCTGAGAACCTCTCTCTTGCATGGAATCCACCCAAGCTATATTCGAGATCAGGCAGCATTCTTAGTTGGACGCCGACAAGCTTGCTCGAGCCAGCCATATAAGCATCGTAAAATCTCGTCACTCTACCCCAGACTTCGTTAGAGGGATGGAAGAGATGCTTCGCTAAGTGGTGGAACACCGCCTCTTGCCGTGGAAAGAGCTTGTCTAGCTCGGTTCTGAATTTTGGAACGTAGTACAAGCTTGGGACAAAATACAGGTTTGCTCTGATCGACAACCATGCAATCTGGTCGCTGATGATTTGCTGTTGTTTCCCGCAGAAGAATTTGTCGCCGATATCAGCGACTCCGTCCATTATCTCGATGTAACCGTACCTTGCAAAGTTAGCACCGGCTTCGCATTTTTCAAACTTGAGCTTAAACTTGTCACTCTCGACAAACTGGAACGGAAAGTCCCGGGGAGCAAACCATGAACTCCGAGGAAATGGCTCGCAGAAGAGCTCGTCCATGTCTTTCCCTGGGTCAATTAACAAAACTCGACGGGTGAGCAAGGCGTAGAGGAAAGCCGCAGCAATCGACACCATCTTGTTCCCGAGGCCACTATAGTTCAGCCAAAGGATGAACTTGTAATCGCTGTTCTTCGCGGCTGTGGAGTTGAACCAAGTCTGGAGATAACCTCTGGTGCAGCGAGCATGGAACTCGTCGTAAGAACGAAGCCTGGCGATGAGGTACTCCGATGGTACGTATTCCCAGGGCTTTTTCCTGTAACGATGCTGCTCAATCCGACTCTTACATTGATGATGCTCATTTTGTGCAGGTAGTGGACTATGAGAAGTTCTGATGGAATCACCTTCTTTTCTTCCACTGATCAGATTGAAGCTGCTCCGCTTGTTCCAGGTGATCAAAACTTTAGTCCTCCCTTCCTGGAACCAAACTGCGGCAGAGTAGAATAATATATAGACGAAGACAAGTGCTCCTGAGGCTCTCCTCAGCGTCGACATGTAAAGAGTTTCCATGAAGACCACTTGGTAAGCTACTTATGGTTGGCCATTGTCTATTTTTCTTGAACACTACATTCTAAGTTGCTTTGTTGGCTGCTAGTGACTTGCATCACGAACTCGGCATTTTGCGTCGAGCAGTTTTCCACTTTGCCAAAAAGCTCTGCTGGCACAACCTCTCCGGCTGAGTTGGCCGCCACCGCGCGAATATTTCATGGTATTTTGCAATTTCGAATTGCTGTTTTTTTGTCGCTGCTATTCGTCTCTTTTCAGGGATCAATTTTGCGGATTTATCTGTGGTGTTGCAGTCATGGAAAATATGCATTTGCGCACTCCAACTCTCATTCAATACGTTTGTGGAAACTTATTTGCCAACACGCAGGTCGGAAGCCGGCACAAAAGAGTAACTTACACTGCTGTTGGAGGTATGTCACTTCTAGATCACACCTTGTGGGAGTCAAACACAGTCAGATGCCTTGTCTGTTTGGCCACAGGAGCTGCTTTACAAGCAGGAATGGAACTCCTCTTTTTGGTTTTCCTAACCTTCTATGGTCAATACTCGGTTTCATCATATTCTTCTACTTTTCTCCGGCTGTTCTTCTTGGAAGGCGACTGCGGGGAGTAAGGAGCAGCGAGGCTGGTAAGCAAAATGCTTAGTTGGCCTCAGGTTTTGATCTTGATGGCTCGTTCTGTGTTTCTGGTTCTGTTGCTGCTTGCAGGCTTGATCCTCTCTTCGGCTGCACAACAACAAGATGCCATCGAGAACGGAAACAGCAGCAACGGTGAGGAGGTCCAGGTACTGTTGGAGTTTAGAAAATGCATCAAAGCGGATCCATCCGGTCTTCTGGACAAGTGGGCTTTGCGGAGGAGCCCAGTTTGCGGCTGGCCTGGAATCGCATGCAGGCACGGCCGAGTTCGCGCTCTCAATCTTTCCGGCTTGGGTCTGGAGGGCGCCATATCGCCGCAGATCGCCGCGCTGAGGCACTTGGCTGTGTTGGATTTGCAGACCAACAATTTATCGGGAAGCATTCCTTCCGAGCTCGGCAACTGCACATCGCTCCAGGGGCTGTTTCTAGCTTCCAACCTACTCACAGGAGCCATCCCTCATTCGCTCGGCAACCTTCATCGCCTTCGGGGCCTCCATCTCCACGAGAATCTGCTGCACGGCTCAATACCACCTTCGCTCGGGAACTGCTCATTGCTCACAGATTTAGAGCTCGCCAAGAATGGATTGACAGGAAGTATCCCTGAAGCGCTGGGCCGTCTGGAAATGCTTCAGAGCTTGTACCTCTTCGAAAACAGGCTAACGGGAAGGATTCCAGAACAGATTGGGGGCCTCACACGACTGGAAGAACTCATACTATACTCCAACAAGTTGAGCGGAAGCATACCACCTTCATTTGGCCAGCTTCGAAGGTTGAGACTTCTCTACCTCTACGCCAACGAGCTGGAAGGATCCATACCACCGGTTTTGTCAAATTGCTCCCAGCTTGAAGATGTGGAGCTCTCTCAAAACCGGCTAACCGGCAGCATACCGACCGAGCTCGGCTCCTTGAAGAAGTTGGCCTTCTTATCCATTTTCGAGACCAATCTCACTGGTTCCATTCCCGATGAGCTCGGCCACCTGGATGAACTCAGCGAACTTCTGCTCTACTCGAACAGGCTAACCGGCAGCTTGCCTCAGTCACTGGGGAGATTGACGAAGCTCACCACCTTGTCCTTGTATGACAACAATCTCACTGGGGAATTGCCGGCTTCGCTTGGGAACTGCAGCATGCTAGTGGATGTAGAGCTGCAGATGAATAACTTCTCTGGAGGCTTACCACCTTCGCTTGCTCTTCTCGGGGAACTTCAAGTGTTTCGGATGATGAGCAACCGGTTATCGGGTCCGTTTCCTTCGGCTCTTACGAACTGTACGCAGCTCAAGGTGCTGGATTTGGGGGATAATCACTTCTCGGGTAACGTTCCTGAAGAAATCGGCAGCTTGGTCCGACTACAACAACTCCAGCTGTACGAGAATGAATTCAGCGGCCCGATTCCATCGAGTCTTGGCACACTTACGGAGCTGTATCACTTGGCTATGTCTTACAACAGGCTCAGCGGCAGCATTCCTGATAGCTTTGCCTCTCTGGCGAGCATCCAGGGGATTTACTTGCACGGGAATTATCTCTCAGGGGAGGTTCCGTTTGCGGCTCTCAGGAGGTGTTCGCATTTGGAGGTGCTCGTGCTGTCTTATAACAAGTTGGAAGGATTTCTATCGGAAGAGCTTGGTGACATGCAGAGCCTGACCGGCTTGAGACTGGACGAAAATAAGTTTCGAGGAAGTATTCCCGCGAGCGTGGGCAGGCTTACCAAACTTCAGCTGTTTAACCTCTCGAACAACATGCTCTCAGGTCTCTTACCCGCAGGTCTTGGAAATTTGCACGATTTGCAGGTTAGCTTCGATTTGTCTCACAATTCCTTGGCTGGCCCAATCCCGTCGTGGATCAAGAACATGGACAAGGTTCTCTCAATATCTCTTGCATCAAACTCCCTCTCAGGAGAAATTCCAAGCAGCATTTCTGACTGCAAAGGCCTGCAAAGCTTGGATCTTTCTTCTAACGGGTTGGTCGGTCAGATACCCGAAGGACTTGGTACGCTCAAGTCGCTCGTGACTTTGGATCTTTCTTCTAACAACTTAACGGGCAGAATACCGAAGTCGCTGGCAACTCTGTCGGGTTTGAGCTCCCTCAACGTCTCCATGAACAATCTTCAAGGACCTGTCCCGCAGGAAGGTGTTTTTCTCAAGCTCAACTTGAGCTCTTTGGGTGGGAATCCAGGTTTGTGCGGCGAGCGTGTGAAGAAAGCATGCCAGGACGAGTCATCAGCAGCTTCAGCTTCAAAGCACAGGTCTATGGGGAAAGTGGGTGCGACATTAGTGATTTCTGCTGCAATTTTCATTCTAGTGGCAGCTTTGGGTTGGTGGTTCCTCTTGGATCGCTGGAGGATCAAGCAACTTGAAGTCACTGGCAGCAGAAGTCCTAGAATGACTTTTTCTCCTGCAGGTCTCAAAGCCTACACGGCCTCTGAGCTGTCAGCAATGACTGATTGCTTCAGCGAGGCGAACCTTCTGGGAGCAGGCGGATTCAGCAAGGTCTACAAGGGAACCAACGCACTCAACGGCGAGACAGTCGCAGTCAAAGTGCTGAGTTCTAGCTGCGTTGACTTGAAGAGCTTTGTTTCCGAAGTCAACATGCTGGATGTGCTGAAGCACAGGAACCTCGTCAAAGTCCTGGGTTACTGCTGGACGTGGGAGGTCAAAGCTCTCGTCCTGGAGTTCATGCCTAACGGATCGCTGGCCAGCTTTGCAGCGAGAAATAGCCACCGATTGGATTGGAAAATAAGACTTACGATAGCTGAAGGTATTGCACAGGGACTGTATTACATGCACAACCAGCTCAAAGACCCGGTTATTCACTGCGACTTGAAGCCAGGAAATGTTCTTTTAGATGCAGGCTTAAGTCCCCACGTTGCAGACTTTGGCCTTTCCAAGTTGGTCCATGGTGAGAATGGTGAAACTTCTGTGAGTGCTTTCAAAGGAACCATTGGCTATGCTCCACCAGGTACTGTCTGTCTCTCTCAGATTGGTCCAGGTCGCTCAACTTTTGCTGTCCCTGTTTTGCTGCACAGAGTATGGAACTTCGTACCGAGTTTCCACCAAAGGCGATGTCTACAGCTATGGAGTGGTGCTTTTGGAGCTCCTAACAGGTGTGGCTCCAAGCAGTGAGTGTCTCCGAGTGAGGGGCCAGACTCTGCGTGAGTGGATTCTAGATGAAGGAAGAGAGGATCTCTGCCAAGTGCTTGATCCAGCATTGGCTCTTGTTGATACTGATCATGGTGTAGAGATTCAGAACTTGGTGCAGGTGGGTCTTCTGTGCACAGCATACAACCCCAGTCAGCGTCCGAGCATCAAGGATGTGGTTGCAATGCTAGAGCAGCTCAACCAATAGTTCAACAACACGAGATTTTGTAATATCCTATACACTGTATAATGCTCGAGCTCTTGATTCGAAGTCCAATGCTACTTATTTCATCGTCGCTAAATGTGAAATGGTGCTAATGATACACTTGAAAAATCCTTTTTGTAAGATCCAAAAGTAATATTTACCTTCTTTCTGGAAATTTCTAGTCGATAATGTAGAGAAGGTGAATTTGACTTCCAAAATCATTCCTTCTTTCCTGACTTTTGTGCAAGCCAGTTTCCTAGGATAGCGGGATCTGAAGTCCCCATGGCATTGTTCTGGACTTACGCTTGAAGAATCACAATTGCAGCTGTAGAACACCCTCGAGAAAGGCTCAGTGGAGTCTAGCTTTGGAGAACACGCTGGATAAACTTTGGGCTCCACGAGATAGTCCTGGAAATTGGGCAGCACTCTCAATTGGACACTGACAAGCTTGCTCGAGGTAGCCCTGTAAGTATCGTAAAATCTGGTCCAGGCAGCGTTTGAGGGATGGAAGAGATACTTGGAACACTGCTGCCTCTTGCCGTGGAAAGAGCTTTGGAACGCAGTAAAAGCTTCGCGAAGTATCCCCAAGTTGATAAGTCTGCTTGAGCCACTCTACCATACTGGAGGATGTGGAGCAGGCCTCTAGCATTTAGTCGATCTCCTGAGTTGGACCAGTAGTGGACATAAGGTGTCAAAGTCTGGGAGTTTGGAAGCATCCTTGTCGATCATAACCACTGAATAGAGCTCCAAGGGATCCAGACTGAAAACTTGAATTACTGGTTGTTCCGCAGTGACAAAGGGAGTATCTGCTTGTTGGAAACTCTACCCCTTCTGTAAACAAATGGGTAGACCTTTCACGTTGATCTGCATCATCAGGAGGAGGAGAAAAGATCAGGTTATAGAGTTTCATTAGATCCTTTGGGCCTTGAGAGCCTACTACTCACATCTGCCGCTTCTGGATATATATGCCTAGCAAATAAGGTGGCATGTGGTAAGTTGCACATTCGATTCCCTCTACCCGCTTTGTTTATGATCTCGAGAGTCGTACAACCTCTTCGTGACATAGTCGCGAGGTTTATGAACTGCATTTCACTCTAAAGGTTGTGGTCGGGGGTTCGAATCCCCCGAGTGGCGGCTTTGCCTCGTGTTCCTTTCTCGCAGCATGGCGGCACCTTTTGCAGCGCGTACAGCACACTGTAGCCTACCGACACAGGCAACAACTAAATGTACAAATACATTGTACGAACGCATTTTCTGCGAGTATGGGGTCCCGAGTTCGACTCTCGGAACGCCCTCCATTCCAGGCTACCGACACACAACATCCACCTAGAAATTTCCAGTTTAGAAAAAATTGGAGATTCCTGGACATATCACTTCCACTATTTGCAGCACTATCCACAGAAGAGGTGCCACCATGTATTTTCAACATAACACTTTTTTGACTTATCTCCAAAAGCCGCACTGTCGGCGGCCGAACGCAGCAGGCAGCCACTGCGTACAGCTACCACGATACCAACGTGTCGATCCGCCCCGAACCAGCCATGCCCTGCATCGTTTACATGTTTAAACAAAGGTCATTACTCAGCAGTCCATCCCGAATCCTGAAACCACCACTATATAAACGAGCAAGATCTGCACTGAGTTCAGCACATAAGTTTCGGTGAAGTTCTTTTCTGTTCTGTTCTAGAGTTCCATTGATTCGATCGCAATGGCCAAGGTCTCGTTCTTTTGCTTCGTGTTCGTGTTGCTGGTGGTGGCGAGTAGCCTGAGCGGGACGGATGCGGCGCACGGCTGTGTGGAGCACACGCTCACGTGCCTCAAGGGTGGAGACCGCCGCTGTGATGACTACTGCAGGAAGTGCCACTATGACAGCGGCAAGTGCCAGAAGTGCAACCATGGTGTATGCCACATGAGGCAGTGCAAGTGCACTCAGCCCTGTGTTCCTTGCTAGATTGGTTTGCTTTCTTCTTTCGGGAGTTCTCACTTCAACATTTAGTTGGACATTGAGCTCTCAATCTCAATAAAAAGCACACTTGTAGTTTACTTCGAAACTTCCCTTTGTGTGTTGTGTGTTTTGTGAATCATCCCACCATTGGCTCACAGGAATCAAGGTGAAGAGCGGCAAAGGGAGTCACTCATGTCTCCTGGAAGAATGGTTACTTGAAGAACTTGTGTTGTGGAATGTACTGTATTCATTTCTGAGGTGCAAGGCGCTGGAACTCTATGGAATGGATGACTTAGCAGAAGATTCAACAGCTTATCTTCTCTAGTGTGTGCCTGGGTTTGAAAGCACTCTGTATCTCCAGCAGGTGCCAGGCAGAGAAAGAAACAGAGTCCTTTCAAACCTGTGTAATGCATTATCTAGTGAACAAGATCCTGCCTGTTTATGATTTTTAATAATTAGTGAGAGCCATTGGAGAGGCATGTGTCACGAGTTACGGGTCCTCACATGGTGCCAAATAAAATAGTAATAATACTTAGTCAATTCGGCAGTAAATATCAGTTTCTTACCGCGTGTTGTTTCGAAATATTTTGGCGAAGTTGGGCTGGGGGTGAAGGTGTGAGCGACACCTGTTTGTTTGCTGCATTTTACCGCAGGTCCCCAGCCGCGAAGTTTCCAACAGGAGGCGGTTGTTGACCAGCACCGAGGAGCTTGGGCAGATCAAACGCGGCGATGTTCGTGGTACACACGTGACCAGGTATGTAATAGCTTAGATCATTGAAGAATGAGCAGCTTGCTTGCGCACTGGATTGACGCTGTTTGGTGCTGTAAATCCCAATGATATGCCAAAGGCTATGCATTAGAAGGATCTTTTTGCAGCCAACAATGGAAGCTCTTGTTAGAGCAGAGTCTTCTCACCATACATCCCAAGCAAAACCCTGGGTGGAGGACACACAATTGGCTCTTCACTGAAGGACCCAAAGTCCCTTCCCTTGAGAGAAGGTGTGGAAATCCTTTCCTGTGGGCTAGGTTATTCCTAGCAGAGCTGAGGACTGGCTGAACCAGCCTCTATTTTTCAATGCCTTGTTTAGAGAGGGAGAGTACACTCTGGGTAGGGGGAATTGCTGTACGTTCTGGAGGAGGCTTTCGGACGGTGGAGCAACTTGTGGGAGTGGTGGAAAGAAAAGACAAAGTGTCGACTCAATGTGTTTGAGCCGGGTATGCATCAAGGTGTGTTGAACCTCCTTTCCGTAGTTACTGTGGAGGAAATGGCCTAGGTGAAGCCTTCAGTATGGGGGGGACGAGGGACTGGAGGGACCAAGAAGGTGTGGTCGCGGTGATTCACAGCCCCCATGGGAAGGCACAGCGCTGGAGATCTGGTTTATAGTCTCATTGGAATGCAACACTGGACGAGTGGAGCGTGATGCTCGTGGGGGAGGTATAGGTGACGCGACAGGTGCATGATGACAAGGTCAAGGGACGTCTCCTAAATGGATCGATGTTATAGAATCAAATATGATGCTAGAGTGTGATGGGATCCAGCAGCTTCTTATGGCTCTTCTATGCTTAGGCTTTTGGCCGACTCAGCTTGACATCCAGAACTTCAGTGGGTCACAGCACCACGTGCCTGGTATACAAAGCTTGGCTTGCGATTGGATGGTGGGTAGAGGAAGGGATTCCACCAGCTCTCCTGGCAGAAGTGTGTTTCTTCCAATGTCTCGATGATCTTGCACAATAGCAGCTGTATGTGTATGCTGTGTCTAGGGTCTTAACCATCCCCTTTGGCACTCCTATTGTCATGCCCAGTGCTGAGAGGATTATGTTGGTTATCACATTGAAGAACTTCATGTAGTTTCTTGGCTGCTGGCAGTGGATGAGGCATTCACGGCTCACCTACTCCTTAATGTGGCAGATCCACATAGTCATCAGGATGGTAAGTGTTTTACTTTCTCTACTAGGTGAATTCATGGGTGCAGAAATTGGGACACTGGGTGCTGGGTGCTGGCCAAACTCTAACAGTAGGTGGCAATGCACGATAATCTAACCAATGACAAGTTGTACCCATGAGGTGATTCTTGATGCAAAAGTATCCAGCAGCTCTTGAAACACTGTCCAAAGAAGTCTGTGATGAGAGAGAATGATATTGAGGATGGAGAGGCTACTAATTGGACAAGTTTCACTATGATTTGCTGGAAATTCTGTTTAACAAATTTTTAGTTAAATCTACAGAAAAAAGTATATACTTACTTTTATCTGTGTTTCTTGAATTTAAAAGTACAAAAGTTTTAACTAATTGAAAGAGCTCTCCTTTATTAGTAGTGTAATCTTATGATAAAAAAAAAAATATAAAGAGATTTTCTTCCTATATGCAACATATTTTTTTATGGCTTATTAAAGACAGCCAATTTAAAATATTTTAAATTGAATTTGATTTTGAATTTATAATTTACACCATTGTTCTAATAGCTAATTCAATTATATAGTACAGATACAGTTACTATTATAGAGTTAATTATGGTTAGAGATTTTCATAAAATCTGTTTTATATAATAATATAATCTTAGAAAATTTTAGGTCAAAATTAACTTTTAGAAATTGATTGTTATAGTATATTCTATATAATAGCCTGTTTAGATATCATTGAAACATATGTAACCCAACACTAGGTATGATCAAATCTCCAATTATTAATGCAAATAAATTAATCAACTTTATAATAGGAGTATATATTATTTTTTTAAATGAAGCCTTGTGAGGTTCAAGTGTATGGCTATGATGCCATATACTAATGGGATTTTGGTAGCCGTTAGATTGATTTTAATCTAGACCATTTGCTCTTATATATAACCTAAGGTTTTTGGGTTAATTAATATGTACATTTTTATATTCCATTTCTATATTCCATGCATTTACATTAGTGGAGATAAGGGGCAACTTTGATTGTTCCTAAGGAGTGTTGGGATTTGGGATTTTGGTTTAGATTTAGCTTTTGCATTATCTAGATCTCTTTTTTCTTATGTTTTTTCTCAATTTCTTCTATTTTGTTTTTTCCTTTTCATTTATCTTCATGGTAGAGTAATACCTTTTTCCTTCTTCCACTTTGGAGCAATAGTGCTCAATATTATATATT